TCATTGTGTATTTAACTCAAATTTTGCTACAATAGGCTCCATTGTTAACTATGGGTCATCCATAAACTGGGTATTCTTAACCCAGGGACTACCTGTATTGAAGTATGGTGGGCTGGGGTTGGGGGGGAAGAAATTAAGATTTAAAATACAACAAAACATTTAAGGGAAAAAAAAACTGAAGACAGGAATCCCATATAAATCAGCTGAAAGAGAATTGAGCATGCTCAGTACCATAGAAGAAGAGGAATGTGATGAAATATCATAAAAAAAGATATGGCTGGCTAGAAAACTGAAAGGACTATTCCATACTGCAACTGTTTTGTCACTCTTGTATGTAAGAATCGTCAGACATAGTTTTAGCTTATTTTTTATTGTTACTGGCTATGTAGTAAGTGTTTTCCTCCTGCATGAATGCTTTAACTTGCAGAGTCATTTCAGTGTAAGTTGATGCTGAATAGTTTTTAAAAGTAAAATAATTAAATTGCTGGAAGAAAATTATTGTAAAAATTAAATTGCAATTCTTTCCCCCACCTTCCCTTTTCCTTCAGGTTTAATTGTTGGATTTATCCTTACTGTTGCAAATTACAGCTTTTTTACTTCCATGCTCATGTTTTTCATTACTTCTTCCAAACTTACCAAGTGGAAAGGAGAAGTAAAGAAACAAATAGATTCAGAATACAAAGAAGGTAAGGTTTTAGTTTTAAGAAATTTAATAACTAAAAATTGTACTATAATTTTAAGGAAGGAAAGGTACACAAGGAGTGGTGTAGTCCTTAGATTGGACCAGGGTAGGAAGAAGCTGACCTTCCCCACTCCATTTTTGTCCTTTTCTTGTCAATCCACAAGGCTCCTGGAAATATTTCTTTGGGGAACAGGATTCTATTGAGATAAATGAATGGATATTTGAGGAATAAGGAGGCATTTGTGAAAAGTGGTAGAGACATTTCTATAAAAAAGCACTCTTTGAGACCAGTTTTTGTGGTCTCTTGAAGTTTGCAAGTGGAATGGGTAGAAAAGCTTATATCTAATCACCAAGATCTCCTGGATTGGATCTTCAGGCTCAGTCCCAAATAAATATTTCTTGACATTATCTTATTTCTAGTGAATCACCTGAATTATGTACAACAACATAATTTTGTATTAATTTTTGCTTCTAGTTAAAATTGAAAACCCTGATGATTTGAACTAAACATTGTATTATTCAATTTTTCTCTTATTACATACTCTCCAGGCTACTAAATGTTTGTTTTCTCTTAACAACTTATAGTTTCTCTGTTTGTATACAGGTGGACAAAGAAATTGGGTGCAAGTATTTTGCAATGGTGGTGTACCTGCAGAACTGGCTCTGTTATACATGATTGAAAATGGACCAGGTGAAATTCCAGTGGACTTCTCTAAACAATATACAGCATCCTGGATGTGTCTATCATTACTGGGTGCTTTGGCCTGCTGTGCTGGAGATACCTGGGCTTCAGAGATTGGCACTGTCATGGGTCATGAACCCCGGCTAATAACAACCTGGAAAAAAGTTCCAGTAGGTAAGCTTGAATTTCAAAATTATCTTGGCTGAATGAATGGTAGTAGACAGTCTCTCAATGTTCTTTCTGTGGTCGTGGTTCATAATTAATGTTAAGCCTTGTTTTATTAACCATAGTTTATTGAATAAACCATAATTGGCTAGATTTATACATACTGAACTCTAAACTATTGTTTATAGGTCACAGAGAGTGGATTTATATAGTGCAGTAAGCCAGAATCAAATAAACCCTCATGATTTAGCATGATGTGTAAACCCAACCACTGGATGCAGCTTGTGTAGTCTTGAATTTGGCCTGAAAGATTTGCATTGGTTGGACCTTTGCCTTCTATTTGCAAGTTACCAAGTATCTGAATCATTGATGCAATAATATAACTGGCCAAAATATCTCCTAAAATGACATGTTTGCAATTATAATAAGTCCTTGATTAATACATTAATTGGGAGAAGGGGTGTCTATTAGAGCCAGGTGTCCCTTAAATAGAAAACGAATTTTTTTTGCATGCCTAAAATGTACTTAATATATAGAAAATATATGGCCATTGTCCAGACTGATTTACCAAATAACACTGTTGCTTAGGTCAGAGATCATTAGTGTTAGAAATTTAGATTTGTCCGTTGCTTCTGAAGTCCATCAAGATGTAAAATCAAGGACTTACTATATAATGAAAAACACAATATCTGAAACTTAGGTTCATCAACTTGAAAATATTTTTTTCCCCTTAAGTTTGTCCGGTATCTGAATAATTCTGCTTTTGGAGAGGTCCGTAGGTCATTTGTTGTGGCCCCAGTTAACAGCAGGGTTTTGACTGAATACTGAGATTATATTGCCATCTGAATACATTCTGAATTAATCACCTAATTCCTTTTCTGCTCTAACAAAATGTGATTATGGCTGAGCAGAGCGTAACCCCAGTTGAGCTTGATGAGACTTATTTTTGGAACAGATAGTACAGGATAATATAATACAGTACAGTACATTCAGTCAGAAAGTGGACAGTTTTGCATGAACAGAGCCATGCTTCCTTATGCTCTCAACTTTACCTTAATGTTTCCTCATTGTTTAACCTAGATTCAGAGTCAGAATAGAGTTGTTACTAATTTTGATAATTACATTCTCTGTCTTAATCAATTATAAGTCCTTATTTAAGTATACTTTAAGATTGTAGATGGCCAAATAAATGCTGCTATTACTATATATCATCTTTGGAGGCCCCTCTTGAAGTACCCTCCTGTCCTGAACTGAATGTCTGTCGGGGGAAGGCTTTTTTAGCTGTAGCTTTCTTGCATGCTTTCCAACTGAAATATGCCTGGCACCATCTTTTTTGTCTTTATAGTGCCAGGCAAAGATCTTTTATTCTTGCAACATGCAAAGAAACTTTGACTACTCTGACTGCTGCTTTTATTTTATTGTGCATTGTTTTTTAATCTATCATTGTGATATTGTAAGTCACCCTGGAAAATTTGGGTTTCGGTGAAAGCATATAAATTAATTATATATTAATGTAATATAATATAATTTCCCCCCTTGTTTTAAGTATAACAATAATATTGTGACCTGGCTAAAAGCATACTGTAATGTGGGTTTTTTGGTTATGAATTTGTGTTGTATTAACTGGGGCATTACTATTTAAAACAATTCTCAGTTTAATGCAATATGATAATCCAGTCACTGACACTTATGCTGATTTGAATGCTGTTTGAAGTTGACTTATAAGCTATTCAAAATGCTGTTTGAAGTTGACTTCCATGATTGGTGTCAGCATTAAGCTAACAGTGGCATTTCTGGGAAGAGAAAAATTGAGGTTTACTCCAAATCTTTTAATTAAGAGGATTCAGTTACAGTAAAATGCTGCATCAATGCTAGCGCAGGGTATTTGCTGAGGTCAGCTAAAAGCAGAGTAAGTTGGGTCACTGGGATTCTCCTCCTTTCTTTCTTAATAGTTTGCTCTGCTGCGAAAAGAACAAAGATGGATATTTTCAGTGTTATTTTATTTAAAATAAGGTGATATTGTCCGAATATGTGCAGTATGTCAGGTGTAAATTTATCTTTTGGGCTATTTAATGCAAGTTTTAAAACATTTAAAATGCCAATTTTAGAATGTTATATTTATTTTAGGTACTAATGGAGGTGTTACTTTCGTGGGTTTAATTTCAAGTCTGCTTGGAGGCACATTAGTTGGTGTGGCTTACTTCATTTCCCAGTTGATTTTTGTGAATGATTTGGATATATCTGCTCCACAATGGCCAATTATTGTGTTTGGTGGTTCTGCTGGTTTACTAGGATCTATCATTGATTCCTACTTAGGAGCAACAATGCAGTACAGTGGTAAGTTTTTAAATGAATCTTTACATCACTTTTCTGCTAATCTAATCTTACCATTTAGAGTAAACAGGACTGATAACCATAGGATAACCTTAAGTATTTTTAAATGTTTTGTATTAAATAAATTAGAAATACTAGTTGATATTGCTATTTCATTGGCAGTATACATTCCAATTAACATCAGATAATTAAGAATAAGGCTGAAAAATTCATAACAAGGCATAACAAGCATTATGCTGGAGGTAAGCAACTTAGTTGGGACTGATTGGAGTTACCATCTATCAACATATGGGGGGGGTGTTAGATAATCCTACCTAGAGATAAACTATTAAATACTGTATGTTCCAGTGAGAGTGGAAACAAAGCATCTGTCCACAATTCTTTAAAGAATCAATGACTTTTCTTGGAATTGCATACATGCTGCTTTAAGACTTGCAGACAGGTTCTCCGTGAGCACTTTCATGCACTCCAAAGGATCTTTCTGCAATCAGATCCAAAGCTCTGCATAACCTGCTGTGTACAATATTCAGATAATAGGAAATTGAGGTTTATAAATCTCTTGGCCTAGCCAACAGAAATATAAACAAATATACAACGACAGATTTGTTCCCTTCATGTTTAGATATGGTTTAATCTAAAAAAGAACATTTTCCCTGTCTGAAACAGAATGGCAATGAGCTCAAACTTGTGAATCTTACAGAGCTGTTTTTTAAAAAAGTATACATAGGATTACAGCCTACACTGTTGACTTTTTTATGGTGTCCACAACCCTATCCTCAAATACAGTCTTTTCAATCATCTGCTGCTCTGATAGTGGCCATCTTCCACTAGCAATAAATCTCCCAATTTGTCAGTAGAGGTCCAAAGTGAAGTAAACTCTTACCTGGGAGACAACTTGAGAATAACCAGGGGGGTAGTAGTTTTGTTGATTCTTGTTGATTAATTAAGCATCTCAGCTTCAACATTCTATCTTTAATGGACAGTCTACTATAACAAAATTTTAATTGTAAATATCCAGATTTGGCCAAACCCTTACATAAGAACATAAGACCCAAATCCATCTTTGACCCCTGTTTCAATCAAGAGTGCATTAGAGCTGGGGCATTTCTGATTAGACGGTAAAGAGATTATGGAGCCACTAAACTTTGGCACTTTCGGAATTCTTCCAAAGCATTATTTTAGAGAGGACAATAATGTAAAAAGCCCATTAGAGAAGAAAAAGACAGAGGCTTAGAAGGGAAAGTAGAAGAAGCTTGCCCATATAAGAAAATAATCCATTTGTGTTTTGGCTCTTCATCTTGCCTGCTTTCCAAATGGTCCCACTGTGTGATGTAAAGTTACATCCCTGGAGTTTCAAGTTTTATTTAGTCACAATCCTAGCGCTATAGCTTCTTTGGGCCTTTGTCCTAAAGATATTGCTGGGTGGGCCCGTGTTTCCTTCTGAGATCAATAATCTTTAAAAAAAAGGTAAATCTTTTGGGGGTGTCATAATTTCAGCAGAAGTATTGAAAGTAAGTGTCAACAGGTGGATCCCAATATAGGCTATCCTATTATATGCATTATGTTGTGAATAACTTGCATTCACAATAATTCAACGTTTTTGCTAGTTTAAATTTCAGACAACATTTGAGTCTGAATACTTTTCTCAGACACGGACTTTAGCACTTATGTTCAGGAGAGATCTTCTATCCCTCCCTCTCATAGAGGAAAAGCTTTGTTATTTTAAACTGGAGGCAGGACTTTGGGAAAATGGAGCAAGAAGCTGTTATGCCTGAGCTGAGAAAAGAAATGAGGTGGATCATCTGTACAACTGCTTTGATAAATGTCTGGAATTATCCCGAGAGGCCAGGCAAATCCGGGGGGGGTGGGGGGGGACAGA